CGTCTTCGCTTTGTCAGCCGCGCAACCCACCCGTGTGTTTAGTCACGTAACCACGTCAATAAGCATTGACTGTATGTTATTTTTGCGTCGCGCCGCGTCATATCGAGTTTGCGCCAACATCGCTCACGTAGAACACCACGGAATAATTAACATGACGTATGTAAAAGACCTATTAAAAATGATGATACATTAATAGATCCTTACCTAATAGAGTCGCTAGCTAAGTAATACAACCATGGTAGCTCGGAGGCTAACCGCTCGCTGTATATATCATATATGAGCAAACCGGGTTCGTTCGCCGTCGGCATCAATTAAATTGTTAATTACAATTTTAAGTGCTGATTTAATATAATAATAACCTCTAGACCGAATTTTGGTCACGGCGGTCAGTGTCAACGGAGAATGGCTTACGTAGGACAGGTTTATAGTGCAAAAGTGTGGACGACAAAGGTCTACTCCCTAATGATATATATATATATATATATATACGCGGGCACAACACATTGAATAAAACTATTTTTACGGATTTTATTGCGTTTTATTTACTTATTCTCAACGTTTTGGGTGCTTTGCAGCACCCAAGGTCGGGTGGTGGTGGGGGGGGGGATTGAGGTGTTGGACGTCCCGGTGTCAAAGTTGTAATAATTTAACCTATTAACTTTATTAAATGACTACTATAATATTATTAATTTTAATAACTGAAAATTAAATGCGATAAAATCCGTAAAATAGTTTTATTCAAGGTGATTGTTGATTGGTGGTAATTCTCTGTTCCTTTACTCTCACAGTTTGATGGGACGGCATTCCAATACCTACGACCGGAAAGAGTCCAGTCGCAAGACCAACGGCTTTATGTGTAAAGTCGAAAACTTCGAAGTCGTCGAAGGTTTTACATGTAAAGTAGAAGTCGAATCCATCTCATCACATCATCATCAACACGCACCTTTGCTGTTGCACGTATGGGACGGCTCAAACCGGGGAGGTACCACGATCTCACAGAAGACCAGCGTGAAGTAGAAGTAGAAGTAGCTTTGCTTCTGCAATGCCGGAGGCCCAATCCCCCCCCTCCCCATAACATGGTAGCGGAGTTAAATATAACGCTACCCCAGGAGGGTACCAGACCCCGGTGACGGAGAATCCCTTGCTGATCATCCACGCCCAAACTCAGGTCTCCGTTGATGTCCTTCTTAGCTCCTCGAACCATTGTCTGTCTGAATTATAGGTCAGCGGATTGGGACGGGATGCGATCTTTTTTTGCATCTTACCCTTGGAGGCGGGTTTGTTTCTCGCCAGATGATCCCAGCATTGTTACTGATTCTGTCGCTGATGTGGTGCTACAGGGAATGGAACTTTTTATTCCATTATCTGTGGTACCTATCGGTGGCAGAACCCAGCCTTGGGTTGGTCGCTCCTGCAAAATTTCATTACATCGTAAGCAAGAGTGCTACCAAGCCTGGGCTCGCGCATCGACTTCTCTTGATGCAAATACAAGTGCTCTTAAAAAAAGTATACTTAATCCTAATAAAAGGCAAAGTCAGAGTACAAAGACAGAACTGGCGAGAAACTAGTTCGTCTTCCTTAGAGAAAACGTGCATTCTGGTCTCTCGCCAAGGCTGTCCAAGGGAGCTTCTGCCAGCCATCTCTTCCATCTCTGCACAGGGAAGACGACTGACTAGTCCATGCCGCAAAGGACAAAGCCGATCTGCTGGGCTCTCTTTGCGTTCAACTCGACTCTTGATGACGGGGAATACACCGCCGACCATCCCACAGTGTGAGTGCTCCGTGCAGGATGTGCTGTTTACCCAACTATTGGTGTGCAGAGCATTCCTCTCCCCGGACATCAACAAGTCGAGTACGCCTCATGGCGTCCTTACTATTGTGCTGAAGACGTGTGCTACGGATTTGGCTCCGGTTTTAACGCGCCTTTTTCGGCACTCCCACTCTCTAGACGTAGTCCCAAAATCATAGAAGAAAGCTTTCATGTACCTGATCCCTAAAAAAGGTTACCGCTCCGATCCGTCCAATTATAGGCTTATCGCCATCACCTCCTTGTTTTCTAAAATAATGGAATCCATTATTAACAGCCAGCTCATGCGGTACCTTGAGGATCACCAGCTGATTAGTGACCGCCAGTACAGTTTCCATTGCGAACGCTCGGATGGTGATTTTCTGGGTAACCTAACTCATAAATGGGCGGAGGCAGTAAAGTCCAAGTGGGAGGCGTTGGCCGTTAGTTCGGACATAGCTGCTTTCGATCGGGTTTGGCACAAAGCGCTTCTTACGAAGCTTCCTTCCTATGGGCTTCCCGAGAAATTGTGCAATTGGTTGACCAGTTTTCTTGCTGATCGGAGCATCAAGGTCGTAGTAGACGGTGCATGCTCCGATTACAAGCCCATTAACGCTGGTGTTCCACAGTGATGCTTTATACACCGGCCGTGCCAATATTTCTTGGGAAAACGTCGCCGAGTACCTACCGGGACAAACTTGTGTCTGAAGTCGAGACTTTGTTTAACAAAATCTTGGACTGGGGCGCCTAAATCTAGTCCAGTTTAATCTTAAGAAGACACAAGTTTGCGCATTTACCGCTAAAAGTAACTCATTCGTTGCGTTTCGTCAGTTTCAAGGCACTCCCCTAGTTGCCTCAGCCATTATGGGAATCCTCTGCGTTGACATATCGAGTGACGTGCAGTTTTGGGGTCATTTGAAAGAAAAGGTCAAATTGGCGTCTAAAAAGCTTGGCGTGCTTAGCAGAGCGGGATAGTATTTGATACCAACTCACCGCCTACAACTTTACAAGGCGCAGGTTCGGCCACACATGGAATACTGTTCCCATCTCTGGGCGTGGGCTCCCCAGTACCAGCTCCTTCCATTTGATCACATACAGCGCATAGTAGTTCAAATCGTCGGTGACCAAGCTTTTTCCGACCGCCTTGACTCACTGACACTGGGAAGAGATGTTGCATCTCTTTGCGTATTTTTCGCATCTACCACGGGGATTGCTCTGACGAATTGTTCGGATTCCAGTCAATTTCATCATCGCAAATCGCGACAAAACTCGCGATACCATGCATTCCGTCTGGATGACTGGCGGTCCACCACTGCGCGATTTAAAAGAAGTTTTCTTCCTTGCACAACTTCTTTGTGGAATCAACTACCACAAGAGAATTTTCCGGACCGATATGACTTAGGGACCTTCAAGAAAAGAGCCTATTCCTTTTTAAAAGGTTCCCTTGGTTTTGCAGTTGTTCATGAGCGGCGGTAATCACTTACCGTAAGGTGAACCGTATGCTCGTTTGCCCCCTCTGCTATAAAAAATCTTTTGTATTACTTCTGATAATTTGGCCTTAAATTTTCCCATATTTCCTTTCCAACGTTCTTAATAATTTTAGACTTTTTATACTTTAGAAAGGTTTATTTTGAAATTATACATACGTATAGTATGTAAAAGTATTGTAAAATTTTTTCTGTTTTGCTAATTTTGATACGGGACACCCAAAAGTAAAAATATAACTTTTTAATAGTCTTTCGAAGAAGCGAAACTGTAAATTATTGTAATGAAGAAAAATTATGTAAAACAAAAAAGTTAGATTATGCACGAGAGGAAAGTAGTAAATTCAGAAAGAAAGGCAATAGGTACAAAAAGTAATTTTCCGAGTTTTGCATTTTCGTTTGAAGAAATAAATTAATTTTAGTCCTTGAAAGAAGGTAGTCTCCGAAAAGAAAGGGGAAAGAAGGGGGGGGGAGGGGCCATCCAACACTGTAGTTACCAGCATGAGTTTTATCATACATAGAAACTTTATTGAGAATGAGAAGAACCACCGTCACGCATTAGTTGCGCATATTTGTATTTAGATAGATAGGATTTTCATCTGAAGGAAACAGTTGTCTTTTGTTTATTAAAAACAATCGAATAAATTCAAAATTTTCTTTTTTATTCATCAAAGGTAAATAACATTAATTTTAGAGTTATATAACAATAATGTTTTAGAGTTATATAACAAAAACCGCAAAATAGACATATTGTTCCATCCGTTCCGAAAAGGTTAAACACTTTTTCTTTCGTTCAAAAAGCTATCACGGCCTCTTCTGGTTTGATTTTGGGAAAATAAAGAAATCGGATATAAAGGAGGCGAGAGAGGTGCGTCAGTATCGTGACAAATAGAAGTCCGTAGAGTCTCTAGCTCTCTGGATAACAGGCGTGAGTGTTTATGTATTTATGTTAAGAAATCACATGGTGCTAGGTTTGGACTGTGTGCTGGATGAGTCTCAAGCACCGCCTTTTGGGAAACCAAAAATGACTTTGCTTTGTTCTTGGTAGGCGCCGGAGCATTGTCATTGTCAAGACTGTTGCTTGCTTTCCCGAACGTAACAATATATTTTCATGTTTCATTTCCCGTCACAAAGTCAACTACAAAATTAAAACCTCCATGATCACACATTAACAACATTTTTGTACACCAATCAACTCCAGCAAATTTTTGTTCTGGGTTGGGTTCACAAGGAAGCTAGCAGCACGAAAGCATTTTAAATGTATGTAAGCTATTATTGGAAAAAAAAATAGTCCCGCTGGGTTTCTTGCTGGTTCTTCCCAGGACAGAGGTTTTTTTTTGCGAACCAGTGGTAAATGAAAAAAGTGACTTTCAATAAGTATTGTTATAATCTACATTGAATAAAAAAGTTTCTGTTTCTGTTTCAAATACGAGCACGTTTGTGCGGAGAGTGAACATTTAAAGTCATAAAAAAATTATCGCCCTAAATCTTTTATCGTTATTTCCATATAGCTACAGATGACGAACTTCAACTTGTGATAAAAATCAATTGAGATTCGACTTTCCGCCAAAAACTTTTTAATCATTAAATGCGTTTCTATGTTTTAAAAAAATATAACATTCGAAATTCATACATTTATGAACGATGGTTTTGTCTGTTCTTAACAATAAAACTTAAACTTAGACGAAATACTTAAACATATATATTAAAAATTTTGATTAAATCTGATGATGATCGCTGATGATGTAGTACTTATAGCCGAATCGATGGCGGAAGTACAATCAGACCTGATAATATGGCAGAAGTCCTTAGAAAGAAGAGGGTTGAGAGTCAATAGAGAGAAGACTGTATATATGTACTGTAACTTTTCTAATGCCAATGCGAATGTTATTCCATGTCCTCCTATTGAAGGCAGTCCTCTTAAGAGAGTTGAAGAGTTTAAATATCTCGGATCCATTGTAGCACCAAAGGCATGTATAGAAAGAGACATACAAAATAGAACCCAAACAGCTTGGTTAAAATGGAGATCGCTGTCTGGAATTCTATGCGACTCCCGTATGCCTATTAAAATAAAGGGCAATGTATACAAAAGAGCAGTGAGACCAGCTCTGCTATATGGATCTGAGTGCTGGCCCATCGGCCATCAGAAAGACGGATGAACAGAAACTTCACGTCACTGAGATGAAAATGCTACGTTGGTCTGGAGGAGTTTCTAGAACAGATAAAATAAGAAACGATTACATTCGTGGTAGTTTTAAGGTTGCTATGGTGCACGAAAAACTTAGAGAAAACCGTCTACGCTGGTACGGACACGTGATGAGACGGGATGATGACCATATGACTAAAAAAAGTTATGAACATAGAAGAGGGGAAAAAAGGCCGTGGACGACCACCAATAACCTGGCTGCAAACACTAAAAAACGACCTGAAATCTATTAACATATCAGAAAAGACAACCCACAATCGCACGATGTGGCGCAAGATTACTAGGAGGGCTGACCCCAATTAAAATGGGACAATAGCCAGGGAGAAGAAGAAGAAGAAGAAGAAGATTAAATAAACTTATGCTAATAGCAGTAATTTTTCATTAAATGAAAATGTCCACAAAGTAAAAGGGAATAATTTAGTAACATTTTACTTTTACCTATAGACGAGATTTCATTTTACTAAAATATATATGACAGATCGTTACTTTAATTGTATGTTAAAGTAAGTAATATATATATAAACATGAGTTTCAAAATATTTAAACGATCAACATTTCATATTAATTAATTCATAACTCTAATAGTACTAAAGTTTACCCGTGTTTATTGTTTCCAATTCTTTTTTGTTATGAAGCATCTCCTTACAATTTCGGAACGGATGGAACAATATGTCAGATGCTACGTGGGACTGATAGGGCAATATGCTTTATAGTAAATTGACACAACACTAGGGTTTCATTTTAATGTTACAATTGGGACAAACCATTCCAAACAATTCAGTAATCGTTGTTATATTATTTGACATTCGTAATTTTAGGTTACCAACATAACTTTATAGTCTCTAGTTAAAACTTTAAATATGCACTCTTGACTTACTTACTTATCTTCACGCACAATTCCTTACATACCTCTTTCGCTTCTTTCAGGTTCATTAACTTCTTCATACATGCACGTCTAGGTATCCGAGTACTCTTGACCTTCCCCTCTTCGAGCAATTTGCTCACATGGTCTTCGAAAGTTAGTCTCGGTCTACCTCGACACCTTTTAATATTTACTTTCGCTCTATATATTTTCTTCATCATTCGGTCTTCACTCATTCGCTCAACGTGCCCAAACCATTGGAGTACGCCCCTATCAATTTTTGTGATAAGATCATCTTTCAATCCTGCCATATTGCGAATCTCTTCGTTTCGCTTTCGATCGGCTATGTTAACGCCACACATTTTACGAAGAGATCGCATCTCCACTGCATTCAACTTGCTTTTATGCTTCTTCTGGCATACCCAGGTTTCGCTGCCATATAACAAAGTCGGTACCAACACTGCGTTATGTATTGCAAGGCGTGCACTCTTCACCACGCCTTGCCTTCTGACTAATGCATTCAGGGCACCATTGACTTTGTTTCCGGCAGCGACGCGTCTAGCCACATCTAAATCACATCTTCCATCCCGACTGAAAGCACTCCCCAAGTATACAATTTCATTTACCTGTTCTAGACGTTCCTGATTTACCCATATTTCACATTTCGTTCTCTCTTCGTCCTTTTCAAATACCAGAACCTTAGTTTTATTAGCATTCAAACGGAGACCTTTAATTTCACATTCCTCTTTCATACACGTGACTAATGCCTGCAGTTCTGCTTCTGATGGTGCAATAAGCACTGCATCATCAGCATACAGCAGACAATTTACTTTAATGTCACCCAATTTCACACCCAAACAGCTATTTTTCAGCTTCTGTAAACAGCTGTGGAGATACAGTATGAACAGTCAGAAAGACATGACACAAACCTGTTTTACGCCCGCTTGGACGCTAAACATGGGTGACAGGTAGGTCATGCCCTACCCGCACACAGGCTTTACAGTCATAGTAAAGTGACTGCACAGCCCTTAGCAATCGACCATCCACACCATATCCCGGCAACAGTTCCCACATTTTCTTCCTTATAACCTTATCAAATGCTTTCTCCAGATCCACAAAAGCACAGAAAATCCTCTGGTTAACACTCAAAAGCTTTTCCGTGATCATTTGGACAGAAAACATTTGATCCGTGCATCCTCTTCCAGGTCTAAATCCGCATTCCTCCCATAAGAATCTTTCCGATTTCTCTTGCATCCTACGTGTCAAAACCTTCGAGTAAACTTTACTTGCTAAACTGGTCAAGCTGATCGCCCGATAGCACCCGCAGTCAAAATGTGAACCTTTACCTTTATATAAAGGCACAATGACCGTGGATCGCCAATCATTCGGGACATCTCCCGTCCGCCAGCACAAGTTGTACAGCAGACGAAAGCTGTCCCAGACGCGAGGCCCACCGTACTTGACCATTTCAGCAGTAACTCTGTCTAGTCCCACAGCCTTACCACATTTAAAACTTCGAATCGCACGTTCAATCTCTTTCATGCTGATGACCTCAGTGTCATCGAGGTCCGAGTCTGGCGTGCCAGTCATGGCGTTACCCTCGGATCCTTCACTAAGATCATGACACGCATACATTTCTCTATAAAATTCACTCCATCGCTGCATGACGTCCAATTTTTCTGAGAGGATGTCATTGGTTCTCGAAAGCACTTTGTTCATTCTTAAGGCTGTCGCACCACTCCGGGACCTTCCAACCTCTTTCCAAAGAGTTTGGAGTTTTCCTTAAAGTTGTGCGACAACTCTCTCTCGTCCGCTTCTATTCTACACCTTTCACGTATTTCCTCAATCAATGTTTTCGCATGAACTTTCTGCAACTTATATCTTTCTTTCATCTTCTCTCTCATATGCTTATCGTTACTAGAGGCCAAGTAGTCTAACCATGCTTTTTTCTTCTTTTTACAGCTTCTCTCACTTCATCATTCCACCATGCATCTCTTCTTTTACTACTACCTCTTTTTGTCGTTCCACATACTTCTTCCGCTGCACTTACCATTCCATCCCTAAGGTTCTGCCATGTTCTCTCCACACATTCTTTCCTGCCATCGATGGTGTCAAGCTTTTCGGCTACCCTCGTGTGATATTTGTCCCTAGTATCCGCTTCCTGAAGCTTCCAGCTTCGGATGCGACAGACCGACTGTGGTTCTGTTACTGACGTCCGGTAGCGCCAACCCGCGAACAAACCCCTAAATCTAGTAATTACTAGATAGTGATCCGTTCCCAGGTCAGCACCCCTGAACACTCGTGTATCCATCACCTGTTTTCGCAGTCGGTCATCCACCAGGAACAAATCAATCATACTTCTCTCATTCTTTCTTTCTCTAGTGTACATATGGATTTTCCTGTGATTAAACATAGTGTTTGTCACAAGAAGACCCTTTTCCCTGCATACAGCCAGTATAAGTTTGCCAGCATCATTAACCATTTTATCGCCAAACTTTCCAAGCACCGACTCGTATCCTGGTCGAGCGATACCTATCCATTCAAATCACCACATACAACAGTTCTTTCGTTTCCCTTAACCAAATCTAGAACTTCTCTTACATTCTCCCAAAACTCCTCCAGCTCAGCTTTGTACGACGAAGCTACCGGCGCATAAACAGCCAAAAGGAATAACTTCGTCAGTCCCAGTTTAAAGCGAACCCAGAGAAGTCTTGAGTTCACAACCTTGTATTCAGTCATAAGATCGACCAACCGGGACGACAACAGCACCCCCACTTCCTGGCAGGCGTTCTCGCTTTCCGGGACTCCGGACCATATAGCTAACGTCCCGCCAGGGAGCTCTGCAGTACCACTGCCTTTCCGTTTGGTCTCCGACATACACACGACATCTAATTCTCTTTCTTTCATTATTTCGATCAACTCATTCGTCTTATCTCTCATGCCTCCTCTAACATTCCACGTGCCAACTCTGCACTCCGTCCTCCACCTTCCGCCGTGTCAGGCTGTGCGTGACGGGTGGCAGTCCCCATCGCCGCTTTGCGCGCTGCATTCCACACCAACGGGGACGAGCTGGTGTGCGTCGCCTTGGGGGGACGCCCTAACTCCCGTTTGCATGGGTGCGCAGCTGTGTAGAATTGCAGCCCTGAAAACTACACTAAATATATAAATATGTAAAGAAAACTGCACTCTTGACGATATTTAAAAATATTTTATCAGCTCCTACAAACCGGATTTGCTTTTATCGCTAGGCCACCGCGTTGCTGGTCTAGTGATTTTACTTCTGTGCTGTGCGAGATGTGATGATTCATCCAACGGAGACAATTAGATCCATTATTTTTCATAAGCATTTTTAACGACACCCATGAAACGTTTATATGGAAGAACCACACACCACAAGAAACGAAGAAAGTAGTCACACAGAAGACCGGAGTGAAGTAGAAGCTTTGCTTCTGCATTTCGTCTGGTGAGTGCAGTTGGTCAGAGGCCCGATCCCCCGCCCCCCTCAACATGGTAGCGGAGTTAAATATAACACTACCCCAGAAGGGTAAAAGCGCCCCCGGTGACGGAGAATCCCTCGCTGAGCATCCACGCCCAAACTTCCTTACTCTTCCTGAGCGAGGGTGCTCAGGCTGCCCCTCATATTCGGAGGGGGTGGGGGGCGAAATTCCGCTCGAGACTAAACCTGCTCGGAGCAAACGGAGCAACGCCCCCTGCCACGCTATCCGTGGATTTCTGCAATATCAGGGGACTTCATTCAAAGTTAACGCCGTTCACAACCATCTGAAAACGGCGAAGCCGGCCTTGCTCTTTCTAACCGAGACACAGGTTTCTTCGTTTTTGTTCTCTCCGGCTGACACTTCATATCTCTCTTACCTGGGGTACAGATTAGAACACTCTTTTGTGCCACGGGCTGAAGTTTTCGTGTACGTCAGAGGACATCTGTTTTCGACGCAACGGCAGCCTTGAAGGTACGGACCTGTCCATCTTATGGCTGCGTGTAGACAGCGCCCAGAAGGCTGCAGACTCCTTGCTACAACAGGTCCCATCCACAGAGATCGTGATACTTGGTGATTTTAACGCCCACCATGCTG